TGTCTGTGACACATGCCGGACAGTGGTCTCACTAAGGTTATGACCTATCATCTGTATGAAAAAAAATTGAGTAAAAGAAACTGAAGGAGGAACTGATGTGTGAAGCTAGCTTTGCATCAATATATTTATTTCCTTAGATTGTTAAGACAAGAGGAAAATCCAACAAACATATATTCCTACAACATTTACACCTAGAGATGATAAAGTAGCAGATACAAGTCACATCTCCACAATTATTATCACCAGTAAAATAGAAATGTTTAAAGGTGTAAATGTATGAGTGCTCATAAGAAAAGGAGCAAATGCACAGCACCTACCATACTCTGTGTTTGAAGGAAAGCGTGAGACATCAGATATATAAGCCACTTTACACTTTTCGCCAAAAAGGTAACCTAAACAGAGATAATCTTCTCCGTGCATCACCTAAATCAAAAGTATGACCAAACACTTAGAATAAATCAGAGAGGGCAGAGGTGTTATATTATCATAAGAGACAGGAGAATAGGAGACTCACTGGCAACGGAAAGAACTTTAGTCCTGATGCAATAAATGGTTTGTCACAGTGCTCCTCAATTATCTTCCAGTCAAGCTGTGCCACCCCCTTACTTCTTGGCCTTCTTTAAGTTTCTTCTGAACCAAGTATGGAAATTTCTCGGCAACGCTGTTTGGAGCATAAAAGGAAAACATCAGCCAAGGATTGCTAGGTACAGGACAGAATAAAATGTAAGACATCTTTTCTACCATTGACAGCTTGTTTGGGAAATAAGCTCCAATTCTAATTTCTTGAAACACGAATTTTGACTTGTCTACATATTAAACAATTACCTCCGTCACATTATAAAAATATATGAACATGTATTGATGATATATTTACCTAGCTAGGGCTAGTAAAGTATTATGCACATAAGGCCAAAAATGAAAAATTCATATTATACCTATCCATTGCATATTGGGTTAGGTAATGGCAGGGATCAATATCGTTAGTAGGACTATGAGGTTGCACAGCACGTATATCATCCAAACCAAGAATTGCATCCGCATGTTCGTGAGTTAAAATAATCTACAGTTCATAAAATAAATAATTAAAGTTACTACGACTTTGGAATTGTGCTAGTCAATAAACCAAAATAAATAGCAAATACAATGCTAAAATTTAAACTCACAGAATCTATACGAGGAATCTTGTGGAAAGTAAACCATCGAAGAACTTGCTCCCTAAATGTCTTGCCAACATCAATAATAATATAATTGTGCATACCATAGCTGGAACAATAATCTATGAGCAAAGACGTATTGCACCTGAAAGAAGAAAAGGCTTCCAAATCAAAGCTAGAAAACCATAAATCTTTCTAAGAAACTGTAACCCAAATTATCGAATAATGAAAGCAGGGATGTGGATTGTGGAGTATCACTTTAACTTTAAAAAAAAAACTAACATGACTGTCAATTATATTTTTAAATTGCCATTTCAACAGTATCTTATTTTCTATAAAGATTTATTCAGTAAATATAAATTAATTTAGTATAGAATGCATTTTTATCAAACACGTTGCACTATTAATTTTATTTTGTATGAGTAATGTGATTCTGAATATTTTCAGAATGCTTGCAATATTTTTTTGTCATGTTCAATACATTTCCTTTTGCAAGTTAATTGCGAAGATATTTGCATGATTTTGGGCATAATAAACAAACTACAACTGTTCAAGAAACAAATCCAACTCATTACTAAATTAGCAGCAAACAAGTCACCAAAGAAATCATAAATTATTTAATTAATATCAAGATAACGTACAATATCAGACACAAACGACCACTGAACAGAAATGCATGGAATAGAATAAATTGTACGAAGATTAAATTAAAAAGAAAAGAAGAAAAGGATGAGACCTGTAATTAGGGTTACGATCGGGGGGTATGGAGAGGGATTGAGAACAAACGGAGCAGGGAGGATCAGAGGGCTGAATCAAGCACCTAGCGTTTGGGACGGCACTGGAACAGCCGGTTCAAGGAAGATCAGGGCGGATCCATCACGTTAACGGCGGCTAATGAATTGCCGTCACCATTTTGGACAGGATTTTGGTTCTCCATTTTGATTTTTAGTTTGGAAATTAGAGCTTAGAAGGCTTAAACAATGCGAATGGAGGAAGAGTGGTTTTGCAGATGGCGGAGGGCATTCACCGCTAATTTTAACGGCTCCTACACTTCGCCACGTGATATTTGTTGGGGGGATTTCTTTTAGGTTAAATTATATGTTAGTATCCCAACTATCACTTTTATTTCGTATTGATCACTTAACTATTTTTTCAAAATCATATTAAACTTTTAGTTTTGGTTTCATTTTGGTCACCCTCCGTTAAAAAAACAATAGTGATGCTGATTTTTGGTAATTCCACATCATCATTAAAAAATAAAAATATTACATTAACAGCTCTGTTGACTTTTTAACGCTGAGTGATAAAAATGAAACCAGAACGTAATATTGGATATGATTTGAAAAAAAGGTTGCGTGACCTAAACGGAACAAAAGTGATAGTTGGGGTATAAAACATATAGTTTACCCTATTTTTTATGCATTATAACTAGAAGGAATAAACAATATTGAGTCCTTGAATTTTATGTTTCTTCCATATTGGTAGCTGAACTTATATATTTAGTCATTTTGGTCAGCCAGTTGGTCGCTAGATCGTAGGCTAATTGTTTTGCTCATGAAAAGCAGAATTACCCTTCAAAACCTTGTATGCTACCAAAGGTGGGATTTCAAGTTTTCAACCTTTGTTATATGGCACTTACAAAAGACCACTCGTACTTCTTATTTATTTTCGTACACAATGGCGGATTCAAAAATATTTTTTAGGGTGCACATACATGTGTTAAAAACATAAAATGTTTAAATGGAACAGGTACAAATAAAATTTTGGTGGACATTATCCATAAAATAAGTAACTAATCGAAGAAAACTTTGATTTCAAGGTGGGCACGAAAATTTCAAGGTGAATACCATCAGTAAAATAAGTAACTAATCGAATAAAATTCGGTGCCACCTTGAGCAAGCCGTGGCTCCGCCACTGATTATGCACACACTTTCTTTTTTATTGTCAAAAATGAAAATGTCACTGCTCTTCCTTTTGATCATACAAAAAATTAAAATGTAGGAAACGATCTTTGGCATAGTGATCCCTACAACGCACTTTGGATAGGCAACTCCATAGCATAATAGGGAAACAAAAATTAAGATTTGGAACTTGGTTCCAACATAACATGTAATTAATTTTTAGGGTAAATTATATGTGTAATACCTAAATTATTATTTTTATTCCGTTTCATTACTGAAATTTAAAATTTTTCAAAATTATACTTAACGTTAAATTTATGTTTCATTTGATACCCGTTGTTAAAAACTTAACGATGATATGACGTTTCATCATAAAGTAATGTTACATCACCATTAGAAATAAAAATAAAAATATCATGTTAACAGTTCTATTAATTTTTAGTGACAAGGTATCAAATTGAAACATAAAATAAACGTTAGGTATAATTTTTTTAAAAAAATTTGAGTCTCAAAATGGAATAAAAATAATAGTTTAGATATCACGCATGTAGTTTACCCTAATTTTTATTTATTAACCATACGTGTAAGAACCATTTATAAATTTTATAAATAATATTCATAAATGATGATGAATAATGATTAAGTAATGAATAAAAGGTCTATTGATGCGAATTCCTGTGTCCATATGTAGGAACAATGATTTTTATAAAAACTATGATTATCTGATGCTATTAAGTTATATCAATTAGAAAAAAGTGGGATTCGAGGGGGGATAGGGATGGCAACTCAACCCGAATCCGACAGGTTCAGATTTTTTTTAAAAAAAAATCGGGTTCGGGTCGGGTCGGTTTTTTTTAAATGTACTGTTCGGGTCGGGTTGGGTCGGGTTTAGGGTAAAAAAAATCCGACCCGACCCGACCCGAAAAATATATATAATTTTATCTTATATATTTAGGGATAATTACAATAATATCCCTCCATATATAATTTTTTTCAATTAAGTCACTGTTTTCATTGAATTAATTTTTTTTTTTTTATTATTTCGGGTCGGGTCGGGTCGGGTTTCTAAGTCATATTCGGGTCGGGTCGGGTCGGGTCGGGTCGGGTGGAGAACCCTTTCTTCTCGGGTCGGGTCGGGGGCCCAAAAACCCGACCCGACCCGACCCATTGCCATCCCTAGGGGGGGAGACATGGTCAACTCTATCGTAATTTTCGCACATAATGTTGGATTGAAGCCGTCCGACGATCATGGAGGAGGACCACCGGAAGAAGGGATGGTTATGGGCTTCTTGGTAGCGCTTGAACGACCGAGTTCGCCTTTTAGTAGAGGATGCAAAGAGGTCATAAAGAAAACTCGTAATAACTATACCGTTAGTGAGGAAGATCATATTCGACCATCGTCGACAATGGCGATTGTTGATTCTACTATAGATGATTATAATGATAAAGGATCGGACAATCTAGAAAATTTGGAACGAACATATCTCTCTATCCCTACTGAGATGAGGACTGGAGTCAATAAAGGTTTAGTGACAGAGACTTCACATTAGAATGTATGAATGTTGGATCGCAACAATGGGGCAACCCTAATCCTTCAGGATTAAAATTATTGTGCCTTCTTTTTGTGACATGGTTGAAATCACCATTTTCATTTTACTATTATTGTTCTATATTACAAAAAATAGAAAAATACAAAAGTAAAAGAGACAAAAAATGAAAAAATTGTCACTGCTTTGCTCCTCTGCCTGCACGCCTCTGTTGCTGTCCTGCACTAAACACACTCAGCAACTGAACCGTCCAGCATTCTACGCCAATGACGTCACCAGCACTGACCGTGATGTCACGAACTTGGGCTTTTTCCCACACTTTGGGCTATGTTGGGCCACATTTGATCTTGGAGGTTGATAGAATAGTGTAGATTATTCTAGAAGCACTCAAGACTTGTACAAATGTAGAGTATTCTAGAAGCATTCTAGAGTCTTCCATGTTAGGTATGAAATAATGGAGAATTCTAGAGAATCTCTCCCTACCGTAGGATCAAATCAATCTCCACCGTTCATTGAGGAGGTGGGATGCTATAAATAGGTGTAGAATCCTCATTTGTAAATCATCCAAGAGTTGTAAGCATTCAAGCATTCAACAAGCTTTCTCTCTAAGTTATTTCCTTTCTTCTTTGTTTCCTTGCCAATCCTTTCACTAGCACGAGTTCGAGTGAGGCTGAATTAGCTATCGCGAGGGGCGAAAAGGAGCTAAGGCCGCACGAGGCTTATTGAGCGATTAAGTCCGTGACAGTTGGTATCAGAGCCAGTTAAAGCATCAATATTTTGCACGTGTCTTGTAGGAATGGCCGAAAACTCGAACGAGTTGACTGCTACCGAGGGACGTGGGAAAGAAATTGCACCCACCAACCCGAAGAAGAGCACCAACGAGTCGACTGTTACTGAGGAACGTGGGAGAGAAGCTGCACCCACCAACCAGAAGAAAAAAATGGACCAGAGTAAGGCCCGCGAGGGGAACTCACTAGAACCGATGGTGGCAGAATTCGGGGAGAGGCTGGAGACGGTCCAACATGACTTCAAGACGTTGGAGGACCATGTCTTGGAGCAAGTTGACGCGCTCAAGGGGAGTGCCGAAGAGACTAGCAATGAGGTAGAAGTTCGGTTCATACAGCTAGAAGATATGATCCAATCCTTACGTGAAAGCATCGAGGGGATGCGGGAGAACATGACGCTCTACAAGAGAGCCGCCGTTAGCGGGAGTGCTAACATCACCATCTCCAACCCGAGGGTCGAGTGCCGCAAGGGTTCAACGGGGCAAGGGACGCCAAGGAAGTCGAAAACTACCTATGGCGGATGGAGCAATACTTCGAGGGAATCGACCTTAACGACGAGGCGGCTAAGGTAAAGACCGATGCTTTATATCTTTTCGATACTGCTATATTATGGCGGCGTAGGAAACATACCGACATTGAGCGAGGAGCTTGTCGGGTAGATACGTGGGATGAGTTCAAGAAAGAGCTCAAGAAGCACTTCTATCCCGAGAATGTGGTCTACGAGGCTCGCAAGAAATTGCGGGAGTTGAAGCAACTGGGTATTATACGGGACTATGTGAAAGAGTTCACAACCCTTATGCTTTAAATTCCCAATATGTCCGAAGAAGATCTCTTGTTCTATTTCATTGACGGACTACAAGATGGGCCAAGCAAGAGATGCACCGTCGTGAAGCCATTGCCATCGTTGAGTCACTCGTCGACTTCCAACCCTACTCCCACACCATGCGGCGAAGAACGAGGATAAATATCCAGCCAAAGGTGGGGAGAACGGCAGGAGAACAACCAAGGCAACCGAGACCGAGATCACCGAATGCCACAAGCTAAAGAGGGAGATCGTGATCGACGTCCGGGCCGAAGGGACTATGAAGAGAAGAAAAAGGCCTTCGTTCCCAAAGGAGAATGCTTCTTGTGTAAAGGGCCACATTCGATGAGTAGTTGTCCCAAACTTGGTTCATTGTCTGCCATCGTCGATTGTCAAGACACAGAGTCTCAAGCCGAGATGGGGTCACTCCAAGTTCTAAACGCCTTTAAGGCCAAGCCATTGACACCAACACCGAGTAATGGGCTCATGTATGTGGAAGCGGTGATCAACGAGAAGCCGACAAGAGCCATGGTGGATACGGGAGCTACCCACAATTTCGTGTCTAAAGACGAAGCCAACTGTTTGGGCCTAAAGTACACTGGGAGCACAGGATGGCTCAAGACGGTAAACACACAAGCGGTACCACTCCATGGCGTGGCACGAGGGGTCGAGCTACGCTTAGGCACTTGGAAGGGCCAAGTGAACTTTTCTGTCATTCTCATGAATGACTTCAAGGTCGTTTTGGGGTTGGACTTCCTCCGACAGGTAACCGCTATCCTTATGCCTTCCTTTAGTTCTGTTTGCATCTTGGAGAAAGGGTCTCCTTGCATGATCCCCACGGTCGAGGCACCGAAAGAGAAAGGTCGAGATGCCACACAACTCTCGGCCATACAACTTGGTAAAGGCATCAAGAAAGGGGACATTACTTACTTGGCCATGCTAAAGGAAGATGACGAGATTGAGAAAACGGATGACCTACCATTGATCATCCGTGAAGTCCTAGAGGAGAACATGGACGTGATGCCGCCCGAGTTACCAAATAAACTTCCCCCAAGGTGTGAGGTGGATCACAAGATCGAGTTGGAACCCGGTGCAAAGCCGCCAGCCTTGGCACCCTACCGAATGGCCCCACCCGAACTTGAGGAACTTCGAAGGCAACTCAAGGAGCTAGTCGATATGGGAATGATTCGACCTTCAAAGGCACCGTATGGCGCACCAGTACTCTTCCAAAAGAAGCACGATGGGTCGTTGCACATGTGTGTCGATTACCGGGCACTTAACAAGGTAACCATTAAAAATCGCTACCAAATCCCTTTGATTGCCGATTTATTTGACAGACTTGGAGGAGCCAAGGTGTACACGAAGATGGACTTGCAAAAAGGCTACTACCAAGTTCGAATTGCAGAAGGTGACGAACCAAAGACCGCATGTATCACCCGATATGGATCGTATGAGTGGTTGGTCATGCCCTTTGGTCTAACCAATGCACCAGCGACGTTTTGCACGCTCATGAACAAGCTCTTCCAACCGTACTTGGACCAGTTCATGGTGGTGTACTTGGACAATATCGTGGTATACAGTAACTCCATTGGGGAACATGTAGACCACTTGAGGATTGTGTTCAAGATACTTCGAGAGAACAAGCTGTACGTCAAGAAGGAAAAGTGCACGTTTGCCACCGAGGAAGTACACTTCCTTGGACATGTAATCGGCCACGGGAAGCTATTTATGGACGGGAGCAAAATCAAAGCCATAACCGAGTGGGAGCCGTCGACCAAGGTAAGTGAGATGAGGTCCTTCCTTGGTCTAGTAAATTATTATCGTCGGTTTATATAGGGTTACTCGGCGCGAGCATCACCATTGACGGACCTACTCAAGAAGGGAAAGGCGTAGGAGTGGTCCGAACAATGTCAGAAGGCCTTTGAGAACCTGAAGGCAACAGTTAGCCAAGAACCTGTCTTGGCCTTACCCGACTTTACCATGCCGTTCGAGGTGCATACGGATGTATCTGACTTCACTATCGGGGGAGTACTAATGCAAGAGGGGCATCCAGTAGCATTCGAGAGCCGCAAGCTAAATGACACCGAGAGGCGATACACGGTGCAAGAGAAGGAGATGACGGCCATCATCAATTGCTTGCGGGTATGGAGACATTATTTACTCGGCGCGCACTTCACCATCAAGACCGACAACGTGGCGACGAGTTATTTTCAGACTCAGAAGAAGTTGTCACCAAAACAAGCTAGGTGGAAGGACTTCCTAGCAGAGTTCGACTACACGTTGGAATACAAGTCGGGCAAAGCCAACGTTGTAGCCGATGCCTTAAGTCGAAAGGCGGAGCTCGCCGCGATCTCTCTAGCCAAGGGGACGGTGTTGGAATGCATCAAGGAGGGCCTTGAACAAGATCCAATGACAAGAGAGTTAGTAAAGCTGGCTAGCGATGGCAAAGCCCAACGGTTTTGGGTAGAGGACGGTCTACTCTACACCAAGGGGCGGCGAATCTATGTTCCAAAGTGGGACAACTTAAGGCGAGATCTTATCAAAGAGTGCCACGACACCAAGTGGGCTGGTCATCCGGGTCAAAAACGCACTATGGCATTGTTAGAGACGTCATACTTTTGGCCCCATATGAAGGATAGTGTGGAGCTTTACGTGAAGACTTGTCTTGTGTGCCAACAAGATAAAGTGGAGAACCGACAGCCGGTGGGATTACTCGAACCTTTACCAGTTCCCCAAAGACCTTGGGATGCGATCGCCTTGGATTTCATTAGTGCCTTACCCAAGTCCGAGGGATACGGTTCGATCATGGTCGTCGTGGACCGATTTTCAAAGTATGGGACTTTCATACCATACCCCAAGGATTGCACTACGGAGGAGGCCGCACGAGCATTCTTCAAGAACGTCGTGAAGCATTGGGGCTTACCAAGGAGCATCATCAGTAATCGAGACCCTCGATTTACCGGACGCCTTTGGACGGAATTGTTCAAGCTCCTTGGCACCAAGTTAAATTTCTCCACAAGCTTTCACCCTCAAACTGATGGGCAAACAGAACGGGTGAATGCTTTGTTGGAGTGTTACTTGCGGCACTTCGTGAGTGCCAACCAGCGAGATTGGGCAAAGTTGCTAGACGTCGCCCAATTCTCTTATAACCTGCAGCGGAGTGAAGCCACGGGCCAGAGTCCATTCAAGCTTGCGACCGGACAACAACCGCTCACACCGCACACATTGACAATGCCACCTGACGAGGGCAAAAGCCTTGGAGCCGCCAAGATGGCTAAGTCATGGAAGGAGAACGCTGACATCGCCCGCGCATGTTTAGAGAAAGCAATGAAGAAGATGAAGAAGTGGGCGGACGAAAAGAGGCGACATCGAGAGTTCTCCATTGGAGACCTAGTCCTTGTGAAGCTTTTGCCACAACAATTCAAAGCCCTCCGAAGCGTTCACAAAGGACTAATACGGAGATACGAGGGACCGTTCCAAGTACTTGCCAAGGTGGGTAAAGTGTCTTATCGCTTAGACTTGCCAAGTACACTTAAGATTCATCCGGTCTTCCATGTAAGTATGCTCAAGCCATATCATGCCGACAAGGAAGACCCAAGCCGAGGGTATTCGCATCGAGTACCTCCCGTAGTAACCAAGTCTTACGACAAAGAGGTTGAAACGGTGCTCACAAGCAGGACGGTCCGCAAGAGAGGAGTCCCCCCGCGTACCGAGTATTTAATTAAGTGGAAAGGACTACCAGAGTCCGAGGCAACATGGGAACTAGCTGAGGACTTGTGGCAGTTCGAAGAACATTTCAAAGCGTACGAGGAAACGAGGACGAAGCCGAAATAGGTGGGGGAGGATGTTACGAACTTGGGCTTTTTCCCACACTTTGGGCTATGTTGGGCCACATTTGGTCTTGGAGGTTGATAGAATAGTATAGATTATTCTAGAAGCACTCAAGACTTGTACAAATGTAGAGTATTCTAGAAGCATTCTAGAGTCTTCCATGTTAGGTAGGAAATAATGGAGAATTCTAGAGAATCTCTCCCTACCGTAGGATCAAATCAATCTCCACCGTCCATTGAGGAGATGGGATGCTATAAATAGGTGTAGAATCCTCATTTGTAAATCATCCAAAAGTTGTAAGCATTCAAGCATTCAACAAGCTTTCTCTCTAAGTTATTTCCTTTCTTCTTTGTTTCCTTGCCAATCCTTTCACTAGCACGAGTTCGAGTGAGGCTGACTTAGCTATCGCGAGGGGCGAAAAGAAGCTAAGGCCGCACGAGGCTTATTGAGCGATTAAGTCTGTGATAGAGCTCTATCTCCCCCAGATTTCGCACCCTTCGACCAAAACACCACCAGCAAGCAAAAACGAAAAAAGCAACAAAAAAAATCAGAAACAACAACAATAGAAAGCAAAAAAATTTCTTACCATTTGTAAACGGGAGGGGTTCTATAAAATCCCCTCCCCAACAGTTGTAATAGAGGAGAATTCGAGAGAAAAAAATTTGTAAAGGGCTCCACACCATCCAGAAAGCAATAGAGATCAGAAGCATTTGAAGGTATTCTGGTCTTGTTTCATTTTCCAGCAACTCATTTCTAATTTTTCAAAACATATAAAAAATAAAGAATGAGAAGGAGAACTTACTACCGTGGTTACCATTGTTTCCGGTTTTGTTCACCGCCGTTGAGCTTATCATTGTCGATATATATTTTTTTCTATTTAAGAGATGAAAAACTGCAAGAAAAGTACAAGTGGCTCCTATTGAGCTTATCATTGTCGATAAGACTCAAAATAGTTACAGGATGTTCTTCGAAGATAAACACGTCATAGCCGAGTTGAGTGGGGCTTTTAGCGAGTGCATCAGCGGGAAGATTACTTTGTCGGGAGTCCATCGAATGTTTATTACCCAAGCTCTCTGTCGGATCTTGTTAATGGCGCGAACAAGAGGCACAGTACTGTGGGCAGCATTATCAGCGTTGAGTAGTTTGGCAGCCTCGAGAGAGTCTGTCTGAACTAGCAAAAGTTCAAAGCCATTATTCCATGCAATTTGAAGACCTAACAAGATTGCCCAGAGATCTGCTAGAAAAGGCTGAGTAATACCATTTGCTTTGTTAAAACCTAAAAGCCATGTACCCTCATTATCTCGGAAGATACCAACTAGAGTCCCATAGCTTTGCTTTAGTTTAAGTTTATCGGTGGTCGGTTAAGAGTTTAATCTCTTATTATAGTTTGTTTATCATAACAATTAGATCTATTTGTATCTATCAATTATTTGAATTTTTTTGGATGAGATTTTCACATTTTCCTTGTATGTTCCTTGTATAATTTTAAGTGGCAAGTTTCTTGTATTAATAGTTAAAGAATAAATATCTTAATTATGAGTCCAATATACTATTCTAATTGTAAACTCTCATTGTAATTTAATTTTTTTTTCTCTAAAATTAGTATTTCTATTTTGAAAATATCATTTTGAAAAATAAAGGATAATATACATACATGACCAGTGAAGTATGCGTAAATTGCTTTTGTTTCCACCAAAGTTTCAAAAGTAATGAAATGGTCACTAACACTATTGAAAAGTAACAAAACGATCATTATGTTGTCAAGCGTCATTATCCTTATCACAAAAAATTAATTTGGCACGTTACTGTTTAATCAGGTTAACTATCTTGACCGACTTTTAATCTTCAAGAAAATCTACGGACTCTAGTAATTTTTAATGCATTTACTTTCTTTCTGATAACTTTACGTCTCTCTTCTTGTCTCTTTCTCTGAGCCTGTAAAATAAATCTCAAAATTAAAATCAATGGCTAGAATTGAGGGAGAAAATATTCATTTATTTTCAAGGTCATAACATTATACGTAAAATATTCTTCCTCTTAAAATTCTTTCTGTAAAAGATTGTCTTCTTTCCATTTCACGTTTCTATTGTTACTATAATTTCTCTTTTTTCATTGTCTCTAACTAAGGGTGTATTCGGTTCGGTTCGGTTCGGTTTTTTACCAAAAACTGAATCGAATCGAAATAAACGGTTTTTCAATATTTAAACCGAAACCGAAACCGAATAATTAAAAAATCGAAAAAACTGAAATCGGTTTTTTCGGTTCGGTTCGGGTTTTTTAACGGTTCGGGTTTTTCGGTTCGGTTCGGTTTTTCGGTTTTTCAATGAAAAAATCACTTGAAACTATAATTTTTTTTACAAAAATTGCCTATTCGGTTCAATATGGAACAAATGGGTTCCATATGAAAAACCCGAACCGAACCGAATAAAAAAATGAAGCCTTTAAACCGAACCGAAAACCGAACCATTTAAAACCAAACCAAACCGAATCATTTTACTCGGTTCGTATCGGTTTTTCGGTTTTCTCGATTTCGTTGCTCACCCCTATCTCTAACCCATCAATCTCTTTTCTTTCTTCATTTTTTCACATTCACGCTTTTCCATTTCTTCCCTCAGCCCTCGTTCACTTTGACAAAAAAAAAACAAATTTAATAAAATGAGTCAATATATAGGATTCTCCCTCCGTGATTACACAAACATAAAACTCCCCAGAGTTTTTTCCTCCATGAGAAAAATATATTAATATCCTCTTTTTTGGTGATACACACAAAGACTGAACTCTCCGAAACTTATAAAATTTGGTCAATGTTGGACAAGTACCTCTATATTAATATATATTTCATAACTTAGAGAAAATAGATGTTGGACAAAATATGTGCAAATTTACATTCTTTCAAGAAAACAGACCTAAGACCCTTCCAATCTGAGCATAACAAATACGAGAAACATGTTCATTACAACTCCCTATTTATAATATAATCCTTACTATTTAGATAATAGAAATGAGTGTAATCACTAAGCTGCCAGTAGATGATATTTTAAAATTTCCAGTAAATAGAGCTTGTGGTTTTCTTATTATAATCATTTTCATTTTTCAATCATATTTCATTTTGGAGTTGTATCTTACCTGTGCAAGAGGACTAGAAAAACACAATTGAAATATGTATTTTTTATTATTGTATTTAGATCGTTGTGATTATTAATTAATTAAAAAAGTTATGAACAAATATTATATGAATAATCTCCGATACTATTAAAATAATATACTTTTCGTATAATTAAATGTTAAGCACAGAAACATAAACTTGGTTCTTCTATTAATTCATTCCATCTTTACAGTCGCAAATCCTTTAACTTTTAGCCGACGGTTCACAAATACTTCACCTACTTAACTCTATAGAAGATATGAACAAATTTCCATAGACCATATTGGTTTTTTTATGCAAAATAAAAGTTTTAAGTAAATGATAAAAATTTAAATAAAAATCAAATTAAGAATTTAGTTGAATATAATAAGAGAAAATAACAACTCACTTGAACTGAACTAACAGATGACTGTAATAGCGAAATTAAGTTTCAAGTGAAATCTGTGCTTGAATTTAAAACTAACGTTGATAAATTAATAGTGGTTTAATTTTTTTTTCTCAGCAAACAATTTTATTAATAGGATTTTAACCCTATACTGATGATTAAAAGAACTAAAAGTGTGTTGATAAAAAACAAGGTTAATGATCAATTAATTTGATGTTTTTCTATTCATGAAAACTCTTCACAACATCAATTGCAACAATCTATTTAGGGGTAATTATGGAGCGAGTTGATAATAAGTTGAGTATTGCTCGTTAAAAAGATTTATTTCTCGAGTTGAATCGTTATTTGTTAAGATTGATAATTTTTTTTAAATTCATTGCTTGACTCGTCGTTAATTAAGTTCACCATAAATTTTATCTTGTTTTGTAATTATATTATTATATGTAAAATTTAGTAGAATAATATTATTAATTAATAATTTTTATTTATTAAAAATAATAAATTATTAATTAATAATTTTGCATCTTCCTTATTATTTTCTTATTATAATTAGCAATTATTAATTAGATTTTCTTTTTTAATGGAATAACTTTTTAAGGTAACTACTAAAAAGTTATAAAAAGAAATTAATGAATTTCTTGTGAACTTATTTAGTTGAGTTGGACCTTACTCGATTCAACTCGTTAAAGTTTTAATTCAAGTCAATTCGATTTAAGTATTTATCAAATTTTGACTGAGTTTAATCTAGTGGCGGATCTAAAAATTTAGAAATGGGGTTCAAAAATTTTAATACTCGTCTTTTCAATATAATGGGTATGCAAAATTTCTTATTTTCTTCTTCTTTTAATATATTGAATATTTAATCTAAAATAATGGGTGTGCATTCGACCCCTAGGTGGTCATATGCATCCGCCCCTAGTTTAATCAATCCAAGTATTTATCAAATTTTGATAAAATAGAATTCAAATAACTCACTCACTGTACAACTCATTAAACACTTAATCTTATTCAAGCCAACATTGATATTGGTTATAATACAAATACATTATACATAGACCTACAAGAAGTCACTGAAAAGTCTTGGCTATCATCAGGCCAATCCCCCGGACTCCGATAGAAAATATAATACAACGTTAAATTCAAGACATAAGAAAGCAAACAAGTGAATCTACTCATTGAAAATCGAAAAACTCGACGCCCCTTTCACAAAATACTTGGAGCTGGCCGTCACCGTAGTGGTCGACGAAAACGAAGCCGCGGGAGCGGCTACCATGGCACCGGTAGTGATGGAAGCCGGTAAGCTCTTCGACTTAGACGAAAGTGAATTATCATCGTTGATGAAATCTCTATCCTCTTCTTTGATGGTATCCAACATCTTTCTCGTTCTACTCCTCATGACGGTCACAAACTGCGGTGGAGCAACCTCCATAAACAATCTCGGGAGACGCGAGCTCGCCATGTTTAGAAGCTAATGAAGAAGTAAATGGGTGATATATGGAAACCCATAGGAGGAAAAACAGTTATAAGAGAACACACTGGTTTTGGATAAGATTTATAAGAACATGATTTCGACTTAAATTTTAACTCCTAGTGCCGCCACTTACGGCTGATATTAATTTTGCATGACAAATATGATGTTCACGGTACAAGCTCAAGAGATAACGTTACACTGTGGGGGACCTTGCCATCTCCATGTGTCGAAGATTGAATGGAGATATGCGTTTTGTTGGGATCAATAATGCCTAATTTTTCACTTTTCCCTATCTCATCCGGCATTATCTATGGTGTTCCTTGTGTCTGTTGAATGTTTTCCATTGATAAACTTGCCTGCCTATTCAAATGTCGGTCTACGATACTTGGTTGGAAACTCAATTTTGGGTTTATTTAAGGATGAGTATAATGGAATTCTAATTAATAAATGGGTAAAGTATACATATGGTCTCTGACAATAAAATATTGTTTTGTTGAATCTCTCGACTATTAAAAGTTATTAAATAACCTCTAATTATAAGATATTACTTTGTTGAGACCTTTGACTATTAAAAGTTGCAAAATGACCATCTAACTATTCAAATGTTCCAAAATCGTCCTTTTTCATTAAAAAATTCACGACAGTTTGAGTTGGACATTAACCTGCTGACTGGAATATGATAAAATATGATTTAATAATCTCAAATGACTATCATATCTCAGTCAGCAAGTTAACGTCCAATTCAGACAATTTTTAATTTTTTAATGGAAAAAGAGTAGTTTGAAACATATGAATAGTCAAGTGACCATTTTGTAACTTTTAATAATCGAGTGACTCAACAAAGCAATATACTATAGTCCAGAGAGTTATTTTTGTAATTTTTATTAGTTCGGGGACTCAACAAAATAATATTTTATAATCGGGGATCATTTGTATACTTTACCCTTGATAAATTTGTAATTTTCAAATTTAATAATTGAACAATCTTATCACTTTTATTTTACTTATTGCCCTTTTAATTTTATTAATTTAATAATTGAAATTTATACATTATTTTTTTATCACTCAACCGTTTCTTATAAACGGGATATTTTTTTTATAATTTATTAACGAAATGTTTTTATTAGCTTTTGAATTGTTGATCGAGTTGTTTCATTTCTTCCCCACCATGGAAGTAGGACAAGCCCTGCTCATGTTCTTTTTAGTTGTTTCCAGAATAAAGAACAGCAAAAACAATAGGGTTCCGACAATAACAGCAATGGACAATGGCCAAAAAAAGCTGCTTCATCTAATGTGAATTCTCGAGTGTTCAAGATACCTTGTGTGATGCTACTGGTCGCCATTACTTCAAGGGAAGCCACATCGAAGGTGCTGTGGATTTCATTTTCGGCAATGACCAATCTATTTTTAGGCTATTCTTTATATCAGTTCATTTCTTTGCAACTCTAATCGAAACTCTGTATGGTCACCATTTGTATAGTCAAAACTATTCAGTATGTTCAAAAAAAAAAAAACTCATAATGGGAGGTTAAGATATGGATTATGAGAATGAGAGAAAAGGGAGCGAGCAACAACTAGGCATCCTGCTACAGGGTATCAAATCAAACGCAGACAAATGTGGTAGGAAGTAAAACCACTTAACCATTACTAATTTAGTTGCATTGATTTTAATAGGATCAAGGTTTCAACCCCAATAATCTCCCCCATCTTAAACCCAAAAATGGCAATCTTCTTTAACAATTTTCCGTTCCAAATCATATATTTACTAGGCATTCCACATTTGCATAAAAGCAACCATGTTTCTCAAGCATCGAGCTATACTCACAACCATAGGATTGTTGCTCAACGAAGCCCGAAAACTATTGGGCAATCAAAATTTCAAGGTTTTCTATGTTAATTGGGAGGTTAATAGAGTAGCTTATTCGCTCGCCCAGTGGGCTTTGTCGAACCGCAATTCATTATTGTTTTACTATGATGAACTTGATTATATAAGAGGCGCAATTTTTTATGCTGTTAGAAAATAACTTCTTTACTCTTTAAAAAAAAAAAAAGCTATACAAAAGGACTTCTATTATCAAGTAAACACATCAGAAAATCAAGAGCCAGAAACAATGAAACAACTTCCCCCAAATTTTCCGAACGGCATCGTAGTAGTCGTCCCATTAGACAGGTAATCACCAGAGTGTACGGTGTAAAGCAACGGCGCAAAAGGCTTTCCACATGGCGTTGAAGGGGGAACACCTCACCTGGCAGTCGAGTTCCTTGACGATGATCAATGAGTCAAAAATATCGTCGGAGACCGAGCAATTTATCAATCGGTTCGAGTGTCAATACTTTGTTTTTTTTTTTTGAAAATGAGTGTCAATACTTTGGAATGAACATAAAATGTAGGGTAAACCACATAACTATGGATTGAGACCACCATTTTTAAATTTGCGTTAATATGACAACTGAATTACTTAAATGGTTTTAATATAGTCATTTATAGTTAACACTTAATTAAAGGGTCTACGTGGTAGTTAACAAAATTTGTATAATTAGGGTCCGAGTCCTTATAAAGTTATGTATTCACGGCGCTGAAACTCTGTTTTATTTTCTTTCATTTTGGTAACTACTTGTGTATGATTTCTTTCCTTGGATTTTCATTTAATACAATTTAAACATGATTCTGTTTTTAATTTGTCTAAGACATTAATTGATCATTAACTTTAAAATCTTTTATTCTAGTCATGTATTAAATTTATATATTAAATCTCTTATATTTTAGAATTAATCAATTTGATCACCAATATTAACTTTAATTCTTAATTTTTAATTAGGTCTTAATTTCAATTTAACTTGATAAATTTATTTCTCCAATCAAATTGTGACACATGCCACAATCATATAATATCAACATTTCTATTAAATCAACAATCAAACCTAATAATAAGTAAAAACGAAATATAATGGTTAATATGACTTTAAAAAAAATTAATAAATGTCAAAAAAAAGAAACGCAAGAATAGATAAATGACCAATAAGTAATTTACCAAAAAAATGAAATCTTCTTCGTCAGCGCTCCGTAGTTGCACAGAATGGAGGATATTTTTTTTTCTTCTGGTTAACGAGACAGATCCTTGTGCTTTACCCAATCTACAGCAATACTACACTCATTCAAAGAGTTGAGACCGGATGATGAATTGCTCCGTCTCCGACGGGATTCTAGAATCTTTGATCATAATCGGGATGAGGTATTATCATTTATGTACTTTTTTCGAGTAGCACTTGCATCTCATCAGTTTCAATATGGAGCAAACTCTTAGTAATTGTATAATTACGATTGTTGGTGACCTTGCTACAATTACTTAATATTAGTTGCAGTTTGTATCTCTTAGATGAATAAATAGTATAGCTTCATCTTCCTTGACTTTATAATATGAGGAATATGTTATAGGAAACCTCACTTTGTGCTTCTTATCTTGCTATATGTTGTATGCGGTGATAGCAAAATGTTGGATACGTGCTTAAAACAAAGTTGAACTATTCAGATGTGCTAGTTGGTGTTGGCCCTTTAGAACTTAGCAAGGAAATTTATCTTGGACATGTTTGATTTGTTGTAAAGTCGGAGAGGAATGGCAAATGTCAAGTTTTAATTCAATTTATATTGTTGTTGTGCTGATATTGGTTTCATAGAGATCCATGGGTAATCCACACGTAATTGGAAATGGTACGAGGATGTGGTCCACTTAGAAATAATTGAACATAATCCCACCCGAATCTTAGTAACATAGGATCCAAGGACTTTCATGGCTATATGTTTTTGGTGATAACAGTATTCCCATAACGGTAATCATTTTCTCGCTGTTTTGCAGCCATTTATCCATGTTAAAAGTCCTGGTGATATGGGGAAAGAGAAAACGAGGCCTCCAAAGCGACTAAAGAAGTCTTGCTAAGCATATGGTAATGGTAAGATTCGAGCCCAATCTTATGCATGATGTTATATCCATCTTTTTGCTATGTTACCCTATTTTAGGGTAATTTATGTTGTCGTACCTCTCTCATTTCTACTGAAATGGTCTAATAGATTTTCGGACAAATTTTTGTTTCAATTTTTAAAAATATACTCATATTGCAGATGATGTGATGACATTGGGGTTTCATGACTTTGCAGCACCCCAAATAAGAAACGTCTCTATAGATGCCAAAACAACAACGATCAAACAAGATTTCTTGTTTCCACAATGTTCTGTATTTTTTGTAACATAAGTAAGTCTTAATTCATTATCCGAGACACAATTACATTTATGGTGTTAACACCCTGTATCGTAGCCAACCTAACTAGAATTCTTAGCCATCGATTTGCTCGATCTGACTACCTTGTAATTAAGGCCCAAGGTTATTGATTGGTGTTTGTTTCTACTGTCTACTGCATTTGCTTGTATAGTTGTTGTATAGACCTTGGTAGATTTGGATTGCTGTGTTCCATGTGTGAGATTACAGGATATATGAACAACATTCATTTAACATTTTAGATTCCCCTGCCCCTCTTCTCTGCACATAATTCAAGTTCCGACGATTATTTGTCTGAACATTTCGGAGTGGTCTCGCTCCGTATCCAGGCCTTGCCTTGCATGCTGTTGTTTTCCCTACATTTCTACCCTTTTTCTGCTGCAATTTTCCCTTAAATTTACGAGCTTGAATCATAAATTGTTATCGATCTTTTTGAATTCAACGGGCCAAAATCTCCCATCACAGGGGTCAGGTATGGACTCATCCTTTCTAGCAAGCTTCATATTTGCTTCGTTCGCAAGCGATAGATATTCATTGCTTACGTTATATATTTCCTGGAAAAAACAAAATTGAATGAATCAATAAATTATCATATCTATAATCAAAATCACAAAAATAAAGAGGTTCCTTTGTTTTAAAATTTCTTTACAATAATATTGTGGCCATCTGTACATAAGTGAGATAATATACAACCTAATCCAATCCAATTAAATTTAACTGTGATTAGCTGGAGTTGGCTCTAAGTAGAAGTGGACATATTACTTCCTATGTAATGGTTTGAGATTATGTTAAGTATTATATTGAAAAAAGCTAATCTAGTCAGATTCTATTTAACAAATCCAATTTAGGTGTTATTTATAAGTTGCTTGATATATTATGTATAGAATTAGGATATTGAATTAAATTCTAATTTAATTATGTATTATTAATAATTCAGTTATTTTCTATTTTAAAAAAATATAAAGTTAAAAGTTATTTTAAATTTAATAAATAAATTCAGGCCAAATAAAATTATATTTAAATTCGAATGGATTCAATTTCATAGAAATCATATCAAATTAGATTGGAGATGAAAACTCAACCATTTACTATCCTAGTATTGGATAAAAAAAATAATACTTATAATCGGATAAATCAATTTAAAATGTTTTGAAGATATTAAGAATCTGACATATAGGAACCTATCAAGTGATCTCGGTGTTAAAAATCTCGATGTTAAAAGGTACCACATGGTATGCGGTCTAATGAAGCAATTAACCCCAAAATTTTCATGTCATCCAAGTCCACAACTCATGCTTAAAAGTTATAAGTATTGAGTGCCTTCTAGCATAAAATAAAAAAGCAAGCGAAGCTAATCAGAATAAATGAAGTGAAAAACCCTGTGTAATGTAATCAGGGTAATTTTAATTTCTCTATTATTTTTCTCTAGTCCTGTTTTACATTTGATTTCAAAATCTGCAACTATGACAAAATTGTCTGATTGTACACTTGCCAGCTTATCTCTCCAAAACCCTAATCTTATAGCTTTCCAAAAAGAAATGTGTGGTTCCTTGGAGCTCAGTTTCTCATCTTTTTATCATCATCACCTGCAAATATCACAAATGTGCAAGGCAAAACAAAAAGACTGAACAAAACGTTCAAAGAACCACTAATGTCTTTACCTATGTCCTAACAATTGATGCCAATATCCTTTGCACTAGGCCATTCAACCTAGTGGGAGAATGTATCTTTCCTTTGACGAGTCTTTCAGCTTCCGGTCCCATTTCATGCACGAATTTTACAGACTCTGATAGTCGATTGAGTAGATTCATTAGTGAAATTACTTCATTCCTTTGCATCTGCAACTGAGGGTCAATTGAGTGAACTCGAGTGTGGATGAAAAGCTCTATTCCGGTGAAAATAAAACATGAAATGTACCTTAGACTAACATATAGTTACAACTAGAGCTAAGAGAAAGCTAGATATCCCACAATACGAAATAAAAGCAAAAGCTTTCTTCATCATGTACTTAAAAACTGATCTTTGTAGGGATCAAACACCATATTTCACGTTCAAATAATTCTCGTTCACTCGGACATTTTCTTGGATGTTAAAATAAGTAAATTTTGCACAAGATGGAAACCATATCAACCGCGATGGTGAACCCAGAAATTGAAATCATTCATGCGACAAATTTAAGATGGAAACTCATGGCTAAAATTTGTAGACTCGCAATGTAACAAAAATTTTACTAGCATTTATAGTCAATGGATGATCTTCAACAAGGGGATTTTGCATAATTGCACAATTAGCAACAGCCTTTATCAACTGCCATAGAAAATGCAGTTACTTTTGATGTTTCTCTCTTCCCATGTTATGCATGAAAACATATTTAGGCCAGAATTCTAGGTGTTTCAATATCTTCAAAAGCGTTTTTTATAGTTGGAAAGATTCTTGACCGTATTGTGGCAAAGTTCGAATGCTTAATCATATACTAGAATGAAATTAGAACTGGAAATTGAAAGCTACAAATGGGGAATGGTACTTACAGTCTGAACCAAGTTCTCCTCACCATTAACAGAGAACAGAATCTTCAATGCAGTTCCAAGACCAGAAACCTGAAGCTTTCCCCAGAGTCGACATTTTTCACACCCTACACAGTCCATCACCGCACTGCACACCAATGGAAATTGTTACATCATTGCCTAAATCAATGGCACAGATATCACATGTCAACAATAAAAGAGTCGGATAAAACAGTTTGTTAAAGTTTCTCAGCAGGTGAGGGATACTGGGAGCGTTTGAAGTACAATTTCAGATTTCATTCCTTCTTGAGAATATTAAGCTTTGAACAAATTCAGATGTGCTTAATGTACCAACTCAAATATGTTCCAAGTAAATATGGTTGCTCATTTTATATGACGATAGCATTAAGTAGAAATGAGAATTGCAGCCTTTTACATGCATCACCAAACAGGAAATTAGAGGAACCTGATATTTTTGAATTGTGATTGTATTTTCTGTTTCAGTTCTGGTCCTCTTTGTCCTTTCCACAATTTAGCTTCATCAAATGGAAGTGGGCATGCAGCTTGCAGTTTTGAATTATAAAGTAGCTGCTTCATTAGGGATTGCGTCTTAAGGTCATCGGTTGGATTACCTGTATCATATTCAGCTTGTTCCAAGTACTCAGTTGCCTGAAATGCATAAAAGCAGGCTCTAGTAAAATAAATGACTCCAGGATAAACAAATACATGCTTGGAAAATAAATAGAGATTTATCGAGTACATGGTCAACGCGATTGTTTTTGCCTAGCTTTATGCTAGGCTCCTCAAGTACTCAAGTAAATTACTTATGCACTCATACTACTCACTTTTGTCACAGCTCGAAGAACAAAGAGAAATGCAAAGTACAAGTTTTCAACATGATTTGGATATTGTAAAACCCGATCATACAGTATTTCGAGATTGTGGCCCCACTGAAATAAGGAAGATAAAACGAACAATGTTAGATCTCAGTAACATTATTGTGAAACAATGAAATTAAGTTCATAAATGAGCAAAAGACCAGTACTGAGTGACACAAAAGTAAGAATTTATACCAAATTTGTGGCTTCATCAAGTAGATAATCTGAAGCTATATGGACCGAAATAGATGAGTGAACACCAGAAATCAACTTGTACAGTATTTTTTCTTCTTGGCATAACTCTTCAGCCGGATCTGTATATCAGATTACAAATAAATAAAATAATATTTTTTAAGGCGGCTCATTAAACTGTTCCTTCCCATCTTCCATTAACGGCAATTGTTATTAACTGCAGTCAATAGAACAAACTACACACCTACCATGGAAGGTGGCTCATTAGACTGTTCCTTCCCATCTTCCATTAGGACAATTGCTATCAAGTGTAAATAATAAAAAAAAAACATGCCTACCATGGTAACTAATAAGTTCTCCCACAGAAAAGAGTCAATTTAAGTTATGTCGATTGAAGATTCATCACCAGGCATTCAAAAATTTAGTTATTATTACTAAATTAAATTGTTAAGAGGTAATAGACCAACGCCTCTACCCGTTCACGAAATGCTTAGGCATCTTTCATTCACATACACAATTAAAGGATCAGAACTCACATTTGGGACAGTTTTCTGAGTAGACAGCATCCCATATCCTTCTAGCCGGTGAACCACTGTAACCAGTATAGCGCTCTGGGTTCAGTTGAAGATTCACATAAGTCATCTCAGCTGCAAAAAACAATATCTTACAGAATCAATTGTTTGGAGTGTTAATGTTGAAAACACCACAATTCTCACTGCAAATCTTATAATAACTAGCACTGCCAAGAGAGAAACACTGAATCTTAACATAGATCAAAGCATCAATTTAGTTATGGTTTTCAATAACAAAATCTGTGAGCTACAGCATCCAATATATAAAAAGCCCATAAAACTGAAATTTCAAAGATATCAATAACAACTTCCGACTCACAGTTATCAGTCTCATCATCATAAGTCCAGGGGTTATCTGTTTCTGTCCACCCAGATCTAAAAACTTTACTATCTAGTGTACGGTCAACAGCAGACTGTGGGTTTCCTTCTTGGCACTTAAGGTCAAGAAATGGAAGGGTACGAAGATTCGGCTTGAATGCATCAGGGAATTCACTTTCTGGACATTCACAAACAATGCAATCCCGCAAAAGGCACATGCCATCATCAGGCCAAAATGGGCAATCACACCACAATCTAACCTGCCCAAAGAAACGTAAATAGTTTTTGAAAATTAAGAGAGGGACCTGACTTGGACCACAAATTTGAAATAAGGCATACATAGTAACGTTGTCATACCAAGATAAATAAAAAATGAAAGGGTTTCAAGTGAGAACAATCTATTCTTATGCCATTAGTTCGTCCCACAAGCATCATGATAATTACATTTCTCAACAACTTAAACTAGTGTTGTTTTTTTCATTCTATAAGCATTTTTGACTTCCAAACTTGGGAAAATCTTAGAATCACTTCCTTTTCACTCTACAAACATTGCAACCATATAAATAGACATCGAAATTGAAGCTCTAACAGCGTAGACATAATATTCTAATTACCGAACAGATGGCCATTTTCCATACTGCTTATCTGGTAGTTTCCCATAATTATCGGTAATAGATAACCATTCATACGAAATCTTTCTAGTTCCCACATCAACTTTGTGAAAATTCTCTCAAAAAAAAAATAAAATAAAGCATCCACATAATATTTCCATCATGCAATGGGAATCAAGCAATAAGCAAACCTTGAAGTACCGAAAAAATGGGGTTTTGACCAGTTCCTGAAGTAAGGGATGTAATACTTCACCATTAAGATGGTCCACAGTCTCATAATTACAACAACAATCCTCTACAATCCCACTATGCATGTGTTTGTCCTGCAAAAATGCAAGAAAAAGAATCATTGCAATACAAACAATCATCATTCAACTTAAACAAAGGAACTCGACAAAAGGGCAACAGACAACACAATCCATACAAGAAACTATAAGAGCATAAATAAAAAGGCAATCAAAGACGCAAATTTTAGTAAAAACAACAAAGAAATTCATTGGCTCAATCAAGCACAGGAAATTTATGAAGAAAAAAAAAATCTCCTTTCAATTTCATTTTAAGGTCGGACCAGTTTCTTAGTATCCAAACAAAAATGAGAACCCGCATCTCTTTTCAGCAAGTTGATCTAAACAGCATCAAGAAATTTACAGACCAAATGATAAGTAAGATCACAGAAGAACACATAAATGCGTGGTTAAATATGGCGCCAATTGAATAAAAACCCAAAAAAACAAAAAAAATGATTCCAATCATGTATCCTTTTTTTCCAAACAAAACAGGAAGATTAATACAAGAGAGAAAGTGAAACCTTAGAACATTCACACGTCTTGCTAGCGTCTCCAGATTTAAGAGGGATCTTTGGTGTTGTCCTTAAAGCCAAAGCAATAGCAAGAACGATTGTAACTGAAGCTCCAATCACCCATCTCCACCTCATTTTCTCCGCCTTCGTGCTCTTCTTTACCGCTGATTCCCCCATTTACAACCTTTTCGATAGATTAGAAAAGGACCCAAAATACCAAAACCTTGTTTAGTGTCCCGGAAATGAAATTAGAAAAAGAAGAGAAAATTTGGAACAAATGTTATTATTCAAAGAGCAGATTCTGCGTTAAGAAAGGTAGAAAATCTTGGATTTAATGGGATCAAATAGCAAATAGACTGATTCAGGAAATTGTGGGCGTTATGCCTTCTTTGATGGTTTCAATTCTGTCTTATTTGCAGTTTGAAACTATGGGCAATCAACTCAGAAAACCAAAGGTACCGGAAATATTTGGTATTGAAGGATGCATATATTATTCAAATAAAAACTTCGTTTTTAAGGTTTGACCGTTGGATTTGACCAAGAAAATGTGAAATCAATACTTGATTTATCTTTTAGCCCGATTTTATTTTGATTAATCCGAATCGATCTTGCTTAGCGATGATTTTTTTCCATACACAAATATTTGAATTCAAAATCTTGCTTAATTAATACCAAATTATTTACAGCCAACTTTGTTGGTTCAATACTCGATAATTTTATACCAAGTGGAAGGAAATATTTTAGGCGAAAGTATTTTGGTTAACTATATCATCAATCACCTTTTTTAAAATTTTGTAAAATATAATATTTGGTTACTTTTATTTTATTTAATTAAAATTTGAATATTAAAAGTTAATTGACGTTAGATTTTTAAAAGATTGTTGACGTGACATTGTGAGTATATAAAATTAAAAATGATAAATTATACAAATGGTCATTAATATTTAAGTTTTTGTTTTTTTATTAAAATTTTAAAAATAACAAATTGATCGAGATCGTTTTATAATATATGTTCGAGACTGATCCCAAACGATACGTAATTCCATCAACACAAAAGAAAGCAGTTGAAACATTTCCATTGATACATACAAATATATGCAACAACAAAATTAATAACTTTTTGCAGTATATATACATGTTGGTTTCCATTATTTGTTATTTTATTTTCTGCGTTGGGGGCTGTATGTGTGGGTGTTTTGTAACTTGAATGTATACATTATCATAAGTTCATAACCACATGAGTGGATGTGGGTTTCTTTAAGATGAAGATCAAAAGCTGATGTTTTCCATGGGTGCAATTTATTGTTCATCATTCTGATATGTGTTTTCCAGTTGCATTAATGGAGAGAGTGAGAATAGAGTGAAAAAGAAATGGCCGAGGAAACCTCTTGGCAATGACTGGTCAACTATGACAAACATGCTCTTTGAGGGGTAAAGTCGGGGTTAAGACGTTGAAGATCCTGTGCAGATCTTTAAAAAGATGTCTTTAAATCTTAATTTTTTTAATTTTTTTAAAGATGACTTTATTAACTAAAAAAATGAGGTAATCTTTACAACCGTAGCACAGTACTAATTATTGGTATTTTTCATATAATTTCAACAAGATTCAACTGCAGGTTTTGTGGTTTTAGGCCTAAAAAATTTACCACTGATACATAATACTTTGTTTATTTTTTATTGTAGCAACAATAATAAATCTAATTTTTTGGGCCCTTGCTATTCCGGGGTTCTGTTCCATTGCGCACATTGTGTTGGCCTTTGCCCCGCCTCTGTTGAGGGGCTAGTAGTTGATAACTAGTAAACTATTCATTTAGTATTTAAACTATCAGTTTAGATCCGTTTTAAGATTTAAATTTTCAATTTTTTTTAAAATCGTACCTAATATTAGTTTTTGTTTCATTTTAGTATCCGCAGTTAACAATTTAACGAAACCTTTTGCACGTGACATTTTATCATGAGTAAATTACACCATTCATCCTTTAACTATCTTCTCACTCTTATTTCGGTCATTAAAGTTTTAAAAAAAATCAATTTAAATTCTCAACTTTCAAATTGCTCATGTTTTAATCACTCTAATTCATTTTATTAATAATATTTTGTGACATTATATTTCTTTATTATTTTATTAATATATAATTAAAATAAATACAACACGGCCGAAAATACATTCACAACCGCAATTTAAATCCATGTTCGATAGATTTCTCAATTGGTATATTCATAGCAAACCTTTAGAGCTCTAAACATATCAACCCCAAACTTGCATTTAAGGTTTCGGTTAAACAAGCTTGACTTAGGATTTAGGAATGAATTATACCTACCGGAAGCTTGACAGTAGATCTTACTACACAGCCTAATTCCAAACTTTGGCACCTAATAAATCCAAATCTTTCGGTTGAAATGTTTGGATTTCTTGGTATCAGTTTCCATGGAGTTTCCCCTTAGGAGGTTGAAGACAAGAGCTTCTCATTCTCTCTCTCCCTACCCCTGAATTCCCAATCCCAGTTTAATGTCCCTAAAGAAAGAAAAGAAGATGGCGGCAATAATACCAACCAAGTAACTTTGTCATTAGAATGATGATTGTTATACTTAAATATTTTAAGTTTGAACAAATTATTTAAATATTTATTATTATATAATCATTTTTAAAAAAAAACAAATATCATTCAAATGAGGATTCGAACCAAGGCCAATTATAAAATATAAGGCGTTTTTTTCAGAAAAATCATCGGTGACCGGTATATTTACCGATCTAACACCGGTCAGACTATATTTCCCGATCTAACACCCTTAGCAGTAAAGCGCACCCCTGAACCGCGTTATATGCTGATTTGGCGCCACGTGGGGTAAGACGCGCCCCCTGCATCGTGCTATATGCTGACATGTGATACACGTGGGTATAGCGCGGATTAGGGGTCGCACCTTACCTGTGTATCTGCCACGTGTCAGAAAGGAGCCCCCTACCCCGCGCTATATGTTTAATTACCCCCATACCCGACGCTCCACACCCTAATCCTCCCTATAAATACTCTCGTCCCCAGTCACTTTCATCACACCAAATTCTCTCAACTTCTCTCAAATACTCTTATATTCTCTGTTTAAGGTATATTTTATTATATTTTTAATATTTTGTATTTAATTTATTTAAGTATTTTAATTTATTTAATATTTTACTTATATAATTTTTTTTGCAGATATATAATGGAAGGCAGTCTACTTCGCTTGGATGAAAATCATATATCTCGACACTTTGCTGATACGATAACATTTTAACGTTTTTGCGTCGATAGCATCTCTATATTAAAGTCAAACGGATTTGCAGATGAATGTCTTCCCCTTGAACTGGACGCGATGTTGCCATACGGATTGTTCGTCGACCCACTTCGGTACATATCGTAAGGAGTTGCGGATGAATGTCTCCCTATTATGGCATTAAAATCATTACACATTACTGTCGTCGGGCTGTCACTTGATCAACTTATTCAGCTAGCCCATAGTGGGAGCTTAATGATTGACCCCGAACGACACGCACTTGAATAAAAATTGCATACATCTCAATATCTGCGTCTGAATAATTACTTTAAGCTTCAACTATCATTTCAACATCATCATTGTTCAAAAGTTCGAACGCTGTATAAATTAATGGCAACAATGTTGTTGGAAATCTGTACTGCAACGACGATATTCTTCTACTACTTCCAACATGAATATTCATCGAAATCTTTGTTATCAACTCCTCAAGAGTTATGTTTCTCTTCAATGATATTTTAACACGCTCATTTGATACGAAAACAATGCTGGTTTCATCTTATCGAATTTCACCATCATAATAAACAATAACTGAAAGTCACACCATTCTTTGAGTTTAAAAGTGCGGCAATATTATATCTGCAAAAAAAACAACTGAAATAATGTTGATTAAATAAATAATATATGAACGAAAATATAACAGAATAAAATTTTTACACATAAACATAAATAATTTAAATAATATAATTTTATATTATTATCTGTACCGCAAAACTATTTCGACGTATATTCCCGCTTTCTAATTTTACAAACACAGAAATTAATTGACAACAATTAGTATAATATTTTTTCAAATAATCATAATAAACAATAAGTATAATAAAAAATGTATCACAAAATTACCTTATAACGAAAAATCGCACGAACTTCTGAATCAAATATGAGACAATTATCAGAATTATTGACTCGTTGACGGAATTATTATATTAATTTATAAGTTGAGATGAGAGATATGAGGAGATGTAAGGAACTTAATCGGGGGAGAAAGGTATTTATAGCCGAGAAAAGTTGTTATAATTATACAAGGCGCGGTACTCGCCTTATATAATTATATCAGTCAAAGGTATGGCACAGCCCTTGCCCCGCGCTATATATAATTATATCAGAGAATTAAAGGTAAGGCGCGGCCCCTAACCCGCGTTATACCCTAAGTGACGTAAGGCGCGCTCCAGGGGCCGAACTATACCCACATGTATTCCATGTCAGCATATAGCGCGGTTCAGATGGCGCGCCTTACCCCACGTGGCGTCAAATCAACATATAGCACGGTGCAGGAGGCGCGCTTTACTGCAAAGGGTATTATATCGAAAAATATAGTCTGACCGGTGTTAGATCGATAAATATACCGATCACTGGTGATTTTTAGGAAAAAACGCCAAAATATAAGAAGTAGTTAAACAAATATGATATTTTTATAATTAAATATATTATAAATTGTATTTAATACAAGATTTAAAATTAAAAATAAATTTATTATTTTTATTTTTTTAAAATAAATTCAATAATTTGTTCATTCTTATTTTTAAAATTTTATATTTATCTTTAGAAATATAAATAATTAATTTAATTTAGAAATATTAAAAAAATAAATTTATTTTAAATTTTAAATATTGTATTAAATACAATTTATAATATATATATTATTTAATTATAAAAATATTATATTTGCCTAACTGGTTAGGTGCTCTTAACTTTTTATAGCTGGTCTAGGTTCGAATCCCCATCTTAATGATTTTATTTCTTTGTTTTCTATCATTAATAGTAGTAGAAAAAAATGGATTTTGTTCAAATATTTAACCAAATGAAGTTTGGCCCAGTGGTTTAGGCATTTCTCTTTTATCTTAGGGTCTCAAGTTCAATCTTTCCTATTATTTTTAATTTATTTTCTATTCAATCAAATGGTGACACGTGACAAAATACGATTATGACAAAGAGGATATATTGCATTGCCATGAAAGGTGGATGCACGACTCAGTGATTTTTTTCATTTTCTTAAAAAACTGACATATGACCCTAATTAAAATATATTTTAAATACTTAAAGGGAAAATATGATATACTTTAGATAAAAAAATTGATGAAAATATACTTTAAATACCTAGATAAAAATATGGTGAGTTTATAAATTTATTTTGATCAAAATAATATTTTATGTATCTAAATAAAAATATAGTATAGTTTGTGCAGTTATTTTTTTAATTGAACTTATTTTTAACTATAAATATAAATAAGAATGGAAAGCAATGAAGATACACAAAATGATTCATGTGTCTCTCTCGTGTATGATAAGGAGAAACTAAAACGACGAGCCCTAGTGGCTGTCTCCAGAACCATATAAATAATAAAATGCAAATTAAAACGAGGAACCCTAGTGGTTGGACCATCAATGATCAAGAACTTTATCAAAAAATCGCAAATTTGATGATTTTGGAACACAAAATGGAAATTCAAATCCATTTTGACTAACATCACAGCAATCAGCTAAGTTTTCAAAGTGGTATGTACTCATTGTGTTATTATCACCATATCTGTATCCCAAATTTGGATTTATCTCGCATAAATTTTCATGTATTTGAAGGACTAATATCGTACGTATATGTTAAACAAAGATATTTCCAAAAAAAAAAATGTAGAAAGAATCATATTATCAATATTATCATTTTAAGTGTTTCGACCGTAACATAAGTTGAAAAATATATTAAAAATAACCAACCATTGTAATATGTGATGTGTTTATAATTTTTTAAAGAAAATTTAAAACTATTATTATTTTTCAAAAAAAAACTCAAATTTTAAAATCTCAAAAAAGTCATAAAATCTTTAATCTTAAAGCATAAACCCTACTCGATGGTCGTCCCCCGCTGCTATCACTCCCGTCGACCGCCTACCCACCCATTATGGACAATCACTCATAGCCTCAATCCCCAAAAACCCTAAATCTAAATTCTTATATCCTAAGACACACATCCATCTCAACTGACGATTAAATATTCAACGGGTGAGTCGATGATAGTCGACAGTAATGATGGTTGTCAACAAAATTGAAAGGATATTTTGGAGTTTTATGAATATTGAGGGTATTTTTTAAAAGTAGAAAAATTTAATTTTTTATAAAAAAATTGTGAATTTTTTTTAAATTAAAGAAAATAAAAAAATTAAGCTAACATGTGCAAACTCTAAGTGGTTGACTAATTGTTAACGGTTTTTTTAATGTTTGTTACGATTGAGATACTTATGATAGTAATATTGAAAAAGTTAGGTACCTATATTCACTAAAAAAAAGTTAAGCATCTAAATGAGAAAAAAAAGTATAGTTTGATTTTTTTTTATATTAAGCAAAAAAAAAAGTAAAGAGTACAAACAATATTAGATCATAACTAATGGAATAAAAAGAACCCACAACATTTCAATTTCAACCTCCAACCTTGAATCTGCAACATCTAGTTAATCCCCTAAAGAATTTGAGGGGGTTGACTATAAAGTATCCATTAACTTGAAGAAACTAGAAGATAAGAGCAAACTACATTTATTGAACTTCATATGTACAGAACACAAAGGATGACATCTTCATAACTACAATATTCACATATAAGAGGGATTAAATGGTTAAAAGGACTACAAAATCAAAGCTCTAACAACATCAATCTAGTCACAGGTGTGCACTCTTACAGGAATATACTTGAAAAATACAACCAGCAGGTGCATTCGGCTATCTGTAACACCCCCAACCTGTATCCGAGTCCGAGGTGTCACATTGACTTTTCAAAACTCTGTACTTTAAAAATCCACTAAAATCTTAATTTCATCGTTTAAGAAAATGAGTATTTTACATTAATAATTATAATCAAATTGTTTCTTTAAAATCATAAGAGCATATTCAATTTAAAATCTTATAACTACATGCCAACTAACTCTATAAACAAAATACATATGTTCAATATGTTTCTGATCTAATCATCGTAAGGAAAATATTGACCTGTCTTGGTTCTCACTATTCCCTTCTCGTTTCTCATACCTACATGTGAAACAATCACACGCTAAGTCGTTGACTTAGTGAGGCATAAAACATATAATAAAACTCTAACTCGTAATCATAATTGAACAATTTCTACTAACATATCACATACAAGCATCATACCCACATATACATATACTAATTCTTACTATGCACATTTCATATATTCATCTATAAAATAATTATCCATATGCTCACATATCATCCCTCACTTCATAACTTTATCATCTTATTATCATACTTTAACATACATACACATCATTTTACCAAACAAACATATAGTATCACATAGCATTTTTCTCATATTATATCCTTTATTTTAGCCCATGCATACATGCGAGAACTATAGATATGTGAGTTTATTGAGGTTGTGCACTATGCTGTCACCACAGCTTGTATGGGTCCTACTAGGGGCTATGAATTTGCCCCAAAGGACCACTATGAAATGTCCCGAAAGACCATTGTATGTCCCGAAGGGCCTATGAACCCTCGACTCTTGGCATGCCAACTATACCTCTAGCTCTCTTTACACATAACATGGGCATTATAATATATCATGTCACATATTCACATGTACATATCATTGTTCATATGATTTCATATTAATATATCACTTATCTTATAACACTTCTCATGTGTTCATATAACATGTATATCATTTTCATCTCTTGTTCACATATGTTCCTATATATCATATATATCACATATGCACATAGATCATTTTCATTTTCACATAGCACATACAAAAACAAATCAATTCATATAAACAAGCATATACACACTCGTATTAAACACAAGTTACTATTCATAAATTCATACGCAACACTATAGGAAATAGACTTGTCGCAAGTCTTATTTCCATCATTTATCATATACTATCGAATATGCACTCACCTTGGCCTCGCTAAGTTTCGGTCCCCTTTTTTTTATTTCATTTCTTTCGATCGAATCTTAACTTGATGATCATACCGGAACTTGTTCGTGTTCGATATCTACATAATCATACATTGATACATATTAGTATCCAATTAATATACTCTAATCTATCATTTCTTAGACCAAAAGAAAGGTTTATTTCTATTTCCCCTTGAAGTGCATCGATGCATTCTACAGTGCATCGATGCATTCTTTAACATGTGCATAGATGCACTACCCATGCATCGATACACAAATCACCTTCGATGTTTTCATTTTAAGGGGATGCATCGATGCACCAATTGCATTCGATGTTTCTTCTTTAAAGAGTGCATTGCTAGTTGCTTTCATTGTAATTCTTATCATAGTGTTCTTGGGTGTGTGTGAGCTTCAATTTACATGAGAGCTTCAATTTTACAAACAATCTTGTTAGAATATTTCAAAGTTTGCTCATTTATATTTCTCTTTGATAAGAATTTACTCTCTTAGGATTTTGGGGTATACATTTTAAGTGGAGTGTAAGCTTATATCAGAGCCTCGCTTATTGGAAGATTTAATCACCTCTTAAGAAAATCTTAGAAAAGTTCAATTCATCAACAAGCCTACATAATTCAATGAAGCCAACTATGTTTATTGGAATAATATGATGAAATTTTTCGTTCAAGCGAATGATTTGAGAGCATAGAGCATTATGATAAAATGTCATTCTACTTCAATCGGAGAAATGGAATGGAGTGAAAAAGAAAAGATGTTTAAACTAAATGCTAAAATAATGCATATTTTATTTTATGCACTTGACCTCGATAAATATGAAAGAATGTCATCTTATTTTAATACTAATGAGATTTCGAATAAGTTTAAAATTACTCATAAAGGAAAAAACGAGGTAACAAAAATTAAAATTAGCTTTCTCAATTATAATTGTAAAAACTTCAAAAATAAGACAAACGCAATGATGAATTTTAAGTTTTTCTGTGTTCTCTTTTTTTTGTATTAAAAAACAAAGGAAAAGGAAAACAAAAGAAATTCAAAGAAATTTTCTTTTTCTTTTATTTGTGTTTTTTTTAATGTTAAATAAGAAAACTAAAATGTAATTTGAATAGATATTTAAAATTAACAATGAAAATTAAGAAAATTGATAAATAAATAAATTAAAATATTAAATTATTTAAATAAAATTAAATATTTAAGATTTGACGTTATTTATACACAAATTAAATTAAAATGTCTGCCTTAAACTAACACGTGTGAGATAGGAGATTCAAGTGTTGTGAATCTGGGTTCGGCCTCCAAAAGATGGCATGAAATTGAGTTTTAAGCCCAAATAATTGGCCTGTTTAAATGTGATTATCAAACTTGAAAGGACCCCATTTATTCTATCTGAAAAGAAGAAGAAAATAAGTGGTGTTACCTGGGCATGTGTGATTTCCTTTAAAAAAATTGAGGAATACCCGTGTCTTTCTTTGAAGATTTTTCACCTGCCAAGAAGCTTTCTTCATTGCTTCATAAATCATTTTTGATGAAGTAAGGTGTAGCTACGGTTTTTTTTATCTTTGTAAATATTATAATTTTCTTTCTTTGTATTCATGCAAATTATCTGTTGTTGGATCCGCAAATGGTAATTTATAAAGACTGGCTGCAAGAATGCAAATTTTTGGGTTTTTGGAAAAAGATATTTTCCATATAGTGAACGGAATTGAGATCTTTGGTTTTCGTTATTCGTCATAGTGACACGTAATTTAGGGTTTTCGATCCTAATCATCAATGTATGTACGCGTTGATAAATTTAAACTACGCCCAATGCCCTGAATTGGTATAGTGGGATGAGGCTTTAGGCTTTTGAGCAAGGTCAGAGGCTTGAATGGCATTGTGAACGTAGAAAACTGAGTTGAGAGAGTTGTCTAAAACCCTTCAATACTTATCCGCATTAGTCGATCAATGAATCGGATAATGGTGGTTATGATCCTATGCCCTGTTGATATGATTTTCGTATATTTGTGATATGCTGTTGAATGCTGATGCTCTCATTCAATAATGCCAGTAAGGTTCGAGTTATTTTTTGGTTTTGGATTAGAGCGGGTATTTTCTTCTTCGAAATTCTTTATCTTGCATCAGCTTTGCAATGTGAAATTTTGATGATTGCAGGTATTGGCTATGATCAATATTCAGTTCCTCTTTTAGTCGGACTTCTGATGCCTGGGCCATCCTTATTCTAGTAAGCAAGCTACAGAGTGTATCTAACTCTAATTTGTTAAACTAATCAAATTCATTAAAAGTAAGTCGACTTCCTGCTATCGAATGAATATCTTCAAAATTTGCTTTGCCCATTTTGCTCCATTGCTTATCTAGTTTCACCGATAATCTCTTCCAACACCATCTTCATGTTATGCGTTTTCTTCACTGTCATCCTATTATTTTACAACAGATTCAGAGTAGTTGTGGCTGCTGGTACATGGGTTTCAAATGCTGGATAATTATTGGATGTTCCAGGGCTAGGGACAGGAGAAGAACACTACTGTGAGAAGAATGTGATTTGTTAATCGTTTATGGATATAGACCATGGAGTCATATATAAATTGAAGAAATGGGGAATAGTTAACAGTGAAGTGGTTAGGGTGGGGAAATGTGAATGAATCAACATTTGGTGCTTTACAATTAGTATTCCTCTCCTTCGGGCTTGTTTAACTAGCCTCTTGAAGAAGCAACATCCTTTTAACCAGTTGTTCATAACGTGTTATGGTGACTTGTACAAGATGTCTTCGAAATGCAAACAAAGCATAGTTTTGAAAGAGTGTAAAACTGAAAGAAGAAATTCATAAGTCTCATGTGCTACAGTGCTAGTATCTTTGCTTTGCTCTCCTGAATGGCTCTTAGTTTACGGAACTTGTTACAACAGTTTGGAACAATAATAGGTAAAGTTTTAGACATTTCTTACTTGGTTTTATGATTTTAGTTCAGTGAGAGAGATGTTTGTAACATTTCTTCGCTGTTCGCTGCACAATACATGCACCTCTTTGACATTTGCATTGAGCATCAAATCACCAGTATGTTTTTTTTTTCTTTTTCATATTCTTGAAGCTGTTGGGTACAATTAGATAATAAATATGTTGCAAGAATGACTCATGTTACTCCATTCTTTTAGTGGAGTAATGCTAAACACTCAGATACCTTGAATGACATTGGTTTTTTGGTAGGAAATCCTGTGTGTGTGTGTATACACACACACCAAGTCCAGGCCATGTAGATATGACATTGGCAAAGTCCTCGGGTGCACCCTCTTTCCTTTCATGTTTTACTCCATGTTCCAAAATTACCCCATAACGGACACTCCATGGTTTTTACATTTGTTTTGCAGGATTGGATACTCTCCGTGGCTATTTATGACTGCTATAAATGTGGATTATTATTGCGGAGGAGGCCTCTTTAAAGTTGTATCAGCATGGATTTTTTATGGTAACTTTTTTCCATTTTATGCTTTCTGTGGCTTATTTCTTAAATGGCTTTTATTATAATTTGTCGTTTACAGAAGGATTCGTGTTTGGTGTATGGAAAGTTTATAAACTCTATACACTGTCACTGAACTACAGGTTGCTGCATTTCTCCCTAATTACATCTTAAAAATCTTAAATTTTTAGTGCTCATTAATGATGTTGTTTATAAACTTTCTGTCCATTCATTGATTGGTGTTAAGCCCTATGACCTGTTTCTTTGCCTTGAAAAAGGCTATAAAATGGGGTGAGAGCAGGGCTTTCATCAACATCATTGTCTCCTTAATCTTTCCAGTTTCTGTCTTTTCTTCAAAAGAGTTCAATCTTGTGTCTTTCTTAGCTTCTACCATGAATTCCCCTGTGGCTAAAGAAGATGCAGAGAAGCAGACAGGTACCAGGCCATGCGCCTGCTACAACAAAGTACTCAACAAATATCGAGCTCTAGAGGGCCACCGTCGGATTAATTATGAGGGTAAGACATTAGGGACCTTGAATTATCTTGGTTCTTCAAGTAATTCCAGGGACACTACTAGGAGTTCCCCTGCACTCCTGCCAAACAGCCAGCGAAACTCCTCACCTCGTGTGAACAAACTAACTCCATTCACTAGAATACCTCCTTCATTTGACCCCTCTAGGGTGTTTGGCTCAAACGAAACAAACCATGCAAGCATGACTGGATTCACCGGTGGCAACCCAGGAGTTTCCCCAACTCAAAGTTTCATGTTTCCGAACTATTCATGTGGTCGTGGTAGTGTTTGTCACCATAGCAGTTTGGCTTCAGGGGGATCTGCTCCAACTGGTCCCCACACGGCCATGTCTTCTGCTGCGTTTTCTCAGTCTAGCATTGTTGTAACCTCTGGCTTTAACTTAGACACTTCATTATGTTTGGGCCCAAATGAAGTTTGTCAGTTTAATACTGATGAATTTCAGATTAGCCGCGATGGTTTACCACCTACTCGTGGAAATGCCTTACGTAACATACAAGGTTATAATCTTGGTAAGCTTTAAAATCCTACCTTTGCTGTAACTAACCATGACCTTGGTTTTGGGTCATATCACTTGCCTATCTTTGATGATCTATTTCTGTTTGTGCCTTTTCTCAGGTCCTCCTCCAAGCTCAAGCCCAGATAGAGCGGGTCAGAATGACCATAGAAGTTTGGTTATATGCGAACAAGGTAAGAGGCCCTTCTTAGATGATGAATCTAGGAAGCCTGATGAAACAAATGCATCGAAAAAGCCTAAGATTTCCTCTGATTCTCATCTGAAACCTGAGAATCTTGTGAAAAAAGAGCTAGCTCTTTTTGTGGATGTTGATGGTTCAGTTCCTGCACCGAAAGCCTTATTTGATGAAGCCAAGGAAGGTCCAGTAGATGTAGATTTGTCTCTGCATCTGTAGGCTTTATTTTTCTCTCTGAAATAAATAAACAAATAACTGTAGAACTGCAGAAGAATAAAGAAATAGTTTATCTTGCCTTCCTCAGCCCTTAATGGAAATTAAGAGAAAGTTGTTGTTCTACAATGTACCGATGAACTATACAGGTTCATAACTGTTAGTTTGGTTGATTTTATGAAGTCAATTATCATCGAATTGATTGTTGATTTGTGGAGTTTCTATTAATCTTTTCATTGCTTCACTAGGTTTTCAGTTTTGCTTTACTAGGAAACAACCGACAGTTTGAAAAGAAAGGTTGAGAAAGATTAGCTGATTTGGAAGCGAGTGTTGGATGTGGATATGTTTTGTCATTTTACATTATTTCCCAAGGTCTTTGGATGTCGGAATACGTATTTTTCTTGAACTCGTTCTGTCGGAATTCGACCAGGTGGTTTGGTTGGTCGGGTAGTTTTCATGAGCAATCAAGCTCTCCTTCGGTCGGAAATAGATCAGGTGGTTTGGTTGTGATGCTACATTCAAGCTAACATTCAAGCTCTCATTCGCTCGGAATTTGACCAGGTGGCTTGGTTGGTGGTTCAACTCTGCACCATAGGAATTTTATGAGAGAGATGCCATTTGAAGATTTGATGGATAAGTTTAATGAGAGTACCATTCCACAGTTGAATCGATATTTTTGATTGTGTAGGAATACAAGTCTAAACAAAATGTGAGACATCATAAGCTAATTACTTAAAATAAACCCCAATGTGAGGCGTTACGTTTTGAAGGTTGAAAAAACAAGGGTTGTTTGATCTTTTAATCAAATCCTTAGGATTGGATTTTGACTGGGATAAATTAAATTTTTAAAAATAATATTTGTATTGTTGGACTCAACTCAGATTAAACTATTTCAATAGTCATCTAATTTTTATATATATTAAACTCATTGGGAGCTTTTTGTGGTAGAGAGAGTGTTGTTCTCTTCAGATATTCGAGTTCGAACAGTTGCGTCTGCAGGATGTATGTACGTTATTAATGACTGAGAAAATTTTTGTATAGATACTATCTTATAATCATCCAAACTATTCAATATATATTAGCCACATTTTTTACCACCATTTGATTGAAAATAAAAGAAATCTCATATCCCAAAAACCTCAATTTATATAAGGGTGAAGTACACAAATGGCCACTTGACTATAGAGTGATATTTCTTTTATTGATTCCATCGACTACTAAAAGTTACAAAATGATCCCCGATTATAGAGTGTTACTTTGTTAAGTCTCTCGACTATTGAAAGTTATAAAATGATCACCCTACTATTCATAATATTCCAAACTTGTCATTTTTTGTTAAAAAAATTGACGGTGGTCTGAGAAGGACATTAACTTATTGACAGTGATATGATAAAATATGGTCTTAGAATCTCAAACGATTATCATATCTCAATTAGCATGTTAACATCCAGCTCAGACGTCTGTCAATTTTTTAATGGAAAAGGACGAGTGTGGAATATAATGAATAGTTGAGTGACAATTTCATAATTTTTAATAGTTGAGGGCTCAATAAGATAATATCTTATAGTCGGGGTACCATTTGTGTAATTTATCCTTTATTTAACTACTACACCACCAAGTCATTATATTTGTCGCATTGTTGAGAATAAAATTTTTAAGATAAAATTAGAACAAAAAAAAGTTTTAACTTAGAATTCAAATTAATTATATTAATTGTGTATGAGTTCTAGGTTAAGTTAGAAATAATTAAAAGAATTATTAAATCATTATATGGGAAAATTAATAAGTAAAAAGATAATTGAATAACGTAATTAAATGGTTTCTTTCGTACAGTTAAAAACATTAATTACTAAAAAAAATTAACAAACAAAAAAAATTACTAAAAATTATTCATTCAAACATTCTTGAATTTCAACCATACTTACTATTCAAACCAACATTGATGCCAATTCAACTAAAAAAAATCAATAATTTTGTAAAACAATGTCTTCTCTATTGCCATTTAATTCATAGTATTGACCATATGAGAGCTGGGGTTGAAAAAAAAACCAACATAAAATATTTAAACACATCATAACATATGAATCAAATTCAATTCTATATTTTTTAATTACTTTTTTTTTATAAAAATAAGTATTATATATTTCAAATAATAAAAGTACTTTTAAAATATTACATAAAATTATTAATTATTTTTTAGAAATTTTTATTTAAAAATTTATAAAATAAATATAAAAAAACTAATCTATTATTTTAAAGTAAAGGCAACAAAATTAAAACTAAAAATCATTACAAAAAATCAAAAGCCAAACAAATTCGATCCAATCCATATAAAAGTAAACAGTTAAAAATCCAAAAAATTCAACGAAAGTAAAGCAAACGAAAGTAAAGCAATCCCAGGCTAACGTTAGGGCCAAACTTCTACTATTTACTAGAATATAAAAGGCATAATATTTATTAAAACGATCATTTTAATCTTATTCTTTTTTTTAATATTTTAACTCCTAAAATTTTTTTTCAATATAAAAAATACTTCTAATATTTCACTAAATAATCACTTTAACCTTTATTCTTTTAATATTTTCGTCCTTAACATTTTATTTTACGAGAAATAGACCCCTATTTTAAAATGTTGGCTAACAATTTCTATCCACGAAAGGATTTTTTGACCCAAAATGTTCCAAAATAATATAAGAGTAAAAAATAACCATTTCGATAAACATTGAAAGCTAATTTTGATGTTCCGTCAAAATAAAAAGGATCAGTACATGAAACAAGATAAACACAAAAACCTCAAAGGCATTGTGAAATCCGTAAAAATGGTAAGAAAGCAGCAGAAGCCAAATATGCTTTTACAATTACAGTCCCGGATGCAACAATGTAAGCACTACAAGCTACCACTGTACATGGATCTGACGAGGGATTTCAGTTCCATGTTTTAACCCGTCATTTACAAGAGCAGATCATCGAAGCAAAGAAAAATAAGATGAATGGGAAAACTATGCCAAGTAATTGTATATTTGTGGGTTGTTCTTGTCCCGCTCGATCAGATATTCAATCCTTTTCTTCAAATCAGCTGGTTTTATGGGGAACTTAAGCTGTTAATCCAACAAACTTAATGAGTATGTTAAATATGCAACTTAAAGGCACATTATCCTCTTCGATGTCTAGAGATCATAATTTGCAGGAGACTGGTTAATGGCATGATAACTCTTAAACAGTAACACCAACTTCAACTTTATTTATTTTTTGCTACGATTGTGATTAGATGTTACTCGGAACTCCTCGGACAATGCAAAAGAAGAATATGCTTTATCTGGTAGAAGAGTTCAGTTATCAAAAGAGTGGCTCAACACTTTCCTTGTCTTCATTATCCGAACAATGACAGCATCAACCTGCAATAAATCAAGCAATAATGGCAAATGATTAAGCTCCTATAGAGATTGCTTTCTATTCCGTTATTTTTATTTGTTTTTGGTGGATGGATAAGAAGAGAATACGAGTGTGAAGCAAAGATGAACCTGATATTGACGGTCTTGAAATACTCTCACGGTAGTGCTAGTGTTCTCTTCCACCGTCTCTTTCATCTGGATTGCATTTACCTGCATTCCAACACGAAAACTATATTTGATGCCTTATCATGCGAGTGAAACAGATTTATCAGTAATCCTCTGTATTTGAATTCAGTGGGATAGCATCGATATACACGAACCATTTAGTTTGATCTTTCAAAATATATTTATCAGCTTGAAAGTGCAAAATACATTTACCTTTATACGATAGAGAGAAGCAGTAAATCCTTCATTGAAAACGAATCAATCATCATCTTCCACATCCCTCCCTTTCGGCAACTGCAGCATACAGATTCAGAAAAGGAATAAAGAAAATGGGACGAAGTAAAATAAACAATGTATTAACTTTACCAGCAGATACAAGAAATTAAGAAATGGTAAATGGACATACCTTTTGTAGGACTCTAACTTTCCCACATGCGAGGGACTGCAAGGTCCTCCTCAATGCCAGTGGAACCCTTAATGTATTGAAAGCTAAGCTTTTGGGCATCGTTGAACAACATCAGAACTACGGTCTAGAGGGTAAACAATGACAAACCCAGAAAAATATTGGAACTGTGCTTCTAGAGAAAATTCGAAAACATAATGACAGAACAATGGTCACCGAGACACCAATAGACTAACCTGGTATAAGGAAACTGACAGTTCCTTTTTCCCTTTGGGAAAATCATCTCAATTCCTGATGGAAGCTTTGACCTGGCCTGGGATGACTGCTTGAATGATTCATTTATCTCCTTTGATAATTCAATGTCCTATATGAAAATCACAAGAATTCACATTCAACACAATTAAGGTTTATTTTTCAATTTGTAACACATCAAAGAAAATAAGCATGGATATACACACACAATAAAGAATTTTGTTTAAAAATTGATTACAAGCATATTTATAATGAAAAAATGTTCCAAATTCATCCTCCCATGTTAAGTTCCACGGATGATTTCTGGGAAAGAGCACGAACCCTTTGACATAAAACCACAATCAGAAAGATCAATCCTAGAACAAGAGGTGATTTAACGACTAACACAAGTCCATACATATCATTTTAAAAAATAAAATAAAATAAAAGCTATAGTTCTAATCTATGGCGACAACTGCATTAATATCACATTCCAATTTCTCTCATATCACTAGTTTCCCTCAAACTGGAAAGGAAATTCAAGTGTGCATTTCAATGTGCTATTTCTTCCTAATTTCCAGGTACTCTACTACCAAAGAGTAAATGAGGTTTGCTCTGTCAACGTGGGCATAAGAAACTAGTAACAGTGAAATAAGTCCAGTATCACACAAACTCCAAAAATTTTGCAGATTGTGAATAAATCTTTCTTAGAATCCTTTTTTCTGTTCTTAATTCTATTACTTGAATAATTATTTGTGTAATCAATCCTCAAGATACAATTAATTCGCTACATATAACATACTATTTGCAGGGAAACTCATAATTAGCTAAAATCATGACTTGAGGAATAACATTCTGGAACCAATGCCATTACCAGTGGAGTTAAATATGCCAAGTGGTTATAAGAGTTACT